TTCAAGGCCAGCCTGGTCTACGTAGTGAGTTCCAGGACAGCTGGGGCTACAGAGAGACCCTGTCTCAAAAAGACAAAAAATAAATAAATAAAAACAAAGAGTATTTAAACATGAGACTTCAGTACTGCTTCTGAAATCACAAACCAAAAGCCAACTTTATCAGAAAGTATTATGTATACAAAATATATATCATAGGATGTATAACTTTATATGTGCATGCAGAACTGAGGTCTGTAGCTTCATACATGCTAGGCAAATGTTCTTCTGCTGAATTGCATCCTTAGCCCTAGTAAGTGGCATTTATGTTGGCTCAATACAGATAGATAGAAACACTGCATTTAGGTTGATGCAAACAGTTGGCAGTGCTGTCAGGGTTAATTTGCAAGTCCCTGAGTGACTTTATGCCCTATCTACTGCTTCTCTCATCAGTGCTTTTGCAAAAGCTCACAGATTTGCTCTTCCCTTTCTTGAATGTGCCTTCTCAAGAGACCAGAGTAAGTGATACCTTGGTAGAGGAAGGAAGCCATCCTGCCCCTCTCCCAGGCCCCAGGTGTCCTCTAGAACAGCCCTGTCCCCAGATTGCATAGTGCTTCCTAACCCAAAGCTGAGCACTTGAGGCAGCTGCTGACCTGGACAGCAGAGGGGGATTCTGGGTAGAATCTAGACAGAGGGTGAGGAGCTTAGGCCAGGCACTGTGATTTGTGTAGGACACATGAAAAGGGAAGGTCTTCTGCTGCTCAGTATTTTCAAACACTTAAAATTAACATTAGTGGAAACTATTTAAGAAAAGTGTTTTCAGGTTCAAAGCTAAGTTTGTAAGACAGGTGTGTAAAGTCGTGTCTCAATCCAGTCAGACATTGGCCTGGAAACCAGACCTTTACCAATAGGACCAGCCAACAAAGCCTTAAGCCTTGGACCTCTGTCTTGGCTGTCTTGTGCTCTCAGCATGTGTAGCTGGTGGTGAGATGGCGTGGCTCCTTACAGTCTGAGGAAGCCGTCTGGCTTTATTTGATTTCTTTTCTAACTTATTTGTATTTCTTAAAAACACAAAGAACTATGCTTGGCACCGTGGTGCGTACCTACAATTCCAGCACTCAGGAAGCTGAGGCAGGAGGACTGCAAGTTCGAGGCCTGCCTGGACTATGCAACAGCAAGAACAAGCCTATGGAGCTCTGGTGCCCTTCCCCAGCTGTTCCTGTTAGAGTGTAAGGCTGGTGAAGTTTGGGAAAACAGTGGCTGCTGCTGGGGCTGCTGCTGAATATGGTCCGCTGGGAGTCTAGCAGAGAGCGTGAAGCACAGCTTTTGAATAAGTAGGCCTTTCAGGTGCCCCATGAGGGGGGAGGCCAGCGTCCTGGGACTGCCTTTTGGAGTGTAGGAAGACTGAGCTGTTGAAGGAGGTCCTGCTGGGACTCCATTTCTGCTGTAGAAGTGGCAAGGCACCCTGTCAGAACTGAGCAAAGGAACCCGTGATAACAGCTTTGTGACTCTTTTCCCTCTTATTAAAGGGAAAAATGTGAGGAAATTCTCTGTGGACTTAGCTTGTACCTGGAGTGCAGTTTTCCTGTCTCTGTTCAGGGAACCCAAGAAGCTGCGCCTGACTAGCTGATGCGGGCAGCTTGATAAGTCAGCGGGGCCTGTGCCGGCATGTTCATTACACTCCTGATTCTGAAGGCGTGAGAACCTTTGCAAGTCAGGTTCCCATGGCTGTATGGATATGTCACGGCACAGATCTGAGAGCGGTGATTTCATCACTAGCTGGGAGCATCACCATCAAAATGATGACAGTTGCGAACATTTATCTAGTGTGAGCTGCTTCCCAGTTACTGAGGGTGGACACTGACACCACACTGTCGGCTGGACAGGTCAGGAAGTCCCTCAGGATGGAAGGACAGACAGCTTCAGAAGCAGTGTTACTGAGTGCCACTTTTGGTTTGGGGCAAGGGAAATAAGCACACTAGAGTGGTTAAATGTTTGTACCTACAGTGGTTAAATAAATTTCATGGTGTAAGATTTCTTACCTCTTACAGGAGGCAAGTGGTTTTCAAGTTACCATTTTGTTGTCCTAAAGAATTTTTTTTTTTTTTTTTTTTTTGGTCTTTTTGAGACAGGGTCTCCCTGTAGCCCCAGCTGTCCTGGAACTCACTGTGTAGACCAGGCTGGCCTTCAACTCACAGAGATCCTCCTGCCCCACGCCCGGCTTAAAGAATATTAAAAAAAAATAATTGCTATTCTATTAATATGTACTTTTTTTTAAAAAAAAAAGTCAAATGTAGTTGAAACTTTTGGTCCAAACCCTTTGCCTCTTTGTTGTTTGGCCTGCTCACCTCCAGTAAGCAGACTGAGGGTAAGCCCCAGTGGGTCCCTGTGCCAGGGTCCCGGGTGAGAGTATTTACTGAGGTTATGGAAGCTGGAAGGGAGTTCATGTGAGAACAGAGCTCCAGTTGCAGTAGGTTTCAGTAACTTTAGATAAACTGACCTCTCAGGATTTCACAATTGCTAATTAAAGCAGAGTACTTGCTGCTTGGAGGCAGGTGTAACGCGGGCGTAACTCACTTGTCTATAAAACCACTGTGTTAGAGAAGTAAGTGGGATAAAATTGATGCTTTTGTAAGCTTTCGAATGATGATGTCAGCCTGTGAGTTCTCGGTCCTACCCAAGAGAGGTTTATAAGGATGAAGAAACTAACCCACAGCCACAACTGTAGCCAGGTACATATGTCTGTGGTGTGGGGGCTTGCCATAAGTCCTGTCTGGTCAGTTCATACTTGCGGGACTTTGTACTCTCTGGTAGCTGCTGGTGTTAAATATTCCCCAAAGAGTACATTGTTGCCAAAACACTAAAGCCTAGAACTCTGACTGTTTACAGTAAGTTTGATTTGCATCTAGAGGTATGGCTTTTCCCAAAGGCTAGCAGAGGGGTCTATGACTGGCCCTTTCCTGGGTAGGGTGTTTCTGCTTTGGGAATAGATCTCTGGAGAGCTGTATATGGAGCTATGGTTCTGTCTGAAAACTGTTGTTAAGCATGTTTGAGACGAAGTCACTGACGGGACTCTGGAGGAGGCCTACCTGGTGCTGCACCTTCCTCCTCCCTTGCACCTCCCATCTGGTGGTCAGAGTGAAGAGGGTGGACGTCCCCACAGACACTCAGCCCTGGTAAAGGGCTGTTGGTGGGGAGCTTCCGTGTCTCCACTGCCTTCCCTGGGGCATCCCTGCTCTTAACACGCCTCCATGGGCCTGCTTGGCTGAGGCTTCCGTCTCTGAATCATCATGGGTGCCAGTATAGACTACAGTAAAAGGCATGAGAACAGAGGGTGCAGTGACCTGAAAACATGCACAGTATCCAGCTCAAGGTCTGTCCCAGTTTTTCTGCTGACATGGGTCAACTGCATGACTTGAGAATTTTCAACATCTCCTGTGTTCAGTGCTTGACTTTGCCCTTAGCTGAGAGTGTCTTCCTCCTGCCCACAGTGTACCATCCGGGATACCTGCCCACACAGCACTTTGAACTGTGTGGTTTCGGTTGGCCATAGGGTTCTGTTTGTCTTTAAAGCACTAAACTTAAGCACGTCCAAAGTGAGGACATTTAATGTAGCTGCTGGTACAGAGGTAACAGTGAGTGGCTGGCATGTTAGAAAGTTCCTATGGAGTTTAGCTTAGAAGACAGACAGGAGAAAGAACAATTTAAAAGACTTCTGCTCAGACACAAAGGAGGAAATTACAGTTTGGCTTCATAGGTCAGCTCTGTCACAGACTGGGGAGCTAAGCTTGTGCTGCAAATTGACTGCAATCCAAGGGAGCGCTGTAACATTCCCCTGGTGGTGTCCAGCTGTGGCACAGAGCCTTGCAGGTGGAACGTTGTGAAGGGCATGCTATAATTACAGCACTGTGATGTGGCATTATTGCGCCACTCAAGGGCACGCCACTGTCGTCTACCCACTGGGGTGTTGCAAGAACGAGATTTGTGAGTTTTACTCCAGATGAGCTTTTGTAGTGACTGGCCTCCACTCCCCAGACTTTCTGTTTTTTAAGGCGACAGCCATGGTCTCAGGAGAAGGCAGTTTTCTGGAGTGTGTTTGGAAAGAAAGATCAGCCTACAGTGCACACACAGCGCCCGAGCCCAGAGTCACACTGGAACTCACCTTGCCTCATTTGTCCTTAACACACCAGTCTAAAATACAGGAGAGCCTTTGCTAATGCACAGTAAACACCAGGATAGCAAATGTAGACAGCTCTGGTTAAATCATATTTAGTCAGTTTTGGCCAATATTTGACCAGTGATGATTTTCATACAGATTTATGAGAAGTTTCGTATCAGGAAAATACCTCTGTGTGTATGAAACCTTAACAACCAAACAAAGCTTAAACTTTGTTGGCTTTTTGTTTTTGAAAGATTATGTCAAAGCGGTACTTACTTTGAACTTAAAAAAAGTTTTAGAAATTAAACTCAGCAGTTGTCGAGTCACATCTATGTGTACATAGAGACGATTAAGCAATAGTATAAATTCATGTTTTGGTTTAACTTTTGAGAGTTCTACAGCAGAAAGAGGGCTTGATTTCCAAATAAACGTGTTCATGTTCTCAGAATAAAGTATCAGCCCCATTAGGAGTTCTGTAATTGTGGTCTGCATCTCCGAGGTGCACCTGCCAGGTCCTGAGTAATCCTCGGGGCACAGAACAGGGCCGAGCAGACAACAGCAAGAACATATCACCCAGACACGTATCTCAAGACACACTGGAGAATAGTTTTGAAAGGAAATTTAAATCTAAGAAGAAATTGTAAGTACTTACTAGAGCTGGGCAGTGCTCAGATGCTGCGTCCTCCGGTGTGAGGTGCTGAGGGCTGAGGAGCAGGATCTGTTCTCACGCTGACTTGCTGGCTCGGTGAAACTGGAGCCGGCTGTTCCAGTGGGAGGGATTTAAGTGTAGGAGTTGAGCCCTCAGGGCGTAGAGATGCACCTGATATTCCTCCGCCCGCAGCTACAGTTCATGTGTTTGCACCCACTGAGCTCCATGGAGCCTCACTGAGCAGGGACCCCGTGAGGCAGGCACCACCCCAGGTGCCCCACAGGTCACCAGGCTCACTGTATGGGGGTCAGGACTGCCCAGTTACAAAGGAGCCAAGAGGGTCCCAGGTCCTTTTCTGATAAGCATTCGATGTTCAATAAAGCCCCAGCTGTGAGCCTTCCCCTCAGCATTCCAGCATATATATGCACACAACAGCAGGGACACACACATTTATCCTGAAATGCATGTCCCCAGAGGGTCAGTGCTTACGATGTACTCACTGGGGGGCCAGAGAGGCCTCTGACCACCTTTGTACCTTTCTCCCTTTATAAACCTTGGCTCAAAAGGGTCTGTGTCAAGGTTGCCTGGAGAGCCAGGGTAGCAGGGGATGCTCACCTGGCTGCCTTGTCATGGGGACTTGCCGGAGCATGCCCAGAGCTTGCACTGACTGCTGAGCGGACGTGTGCTGTCTGTCTGTGGGGCGTTGGCACTGCGTACCCTCACCCCCTCCCCCTTTAAGCAATAATTCAGATTCTCAGTTTTGGAGCTGTTTCATTCTCTTCTCCGAAACTGCTTATTTGCTCTGAGTCTTGTGCAGGCTACAGTGATGACTGGGGTGCGATGTCATTTTGGGGACAGGGAAGGGACAGTTTGATGGTGCCAGGCTCTTGGTCATGCCTGAAGCCGCTGGTAGAGACCAGAGCAAAAGGAGCAAGCACAGACTCCCCAGGGTAGAGCACTAGTCCCCCCACCCTCTTTATTTAAGACTTACCTGGCTTTATATTTAATTCTTTTAAAAATATTTTATTTATTTAATTTTATTTTTAATGTATATGAGTGTATTGTTTGCATGTGTGTAAGTGCAGAGCCCACAGAGGGCAGGAAAGGGTGTTGGATCCCCTGGAACTGGAGTTACAGATAATTGTTAGCCACCATGTGGGTGTTGGGAATCGAACCTGGCTCCTCTAGAAGAGCAGCAAGTGCTCTTAACTGCCGAGCCATCTCTCCAGCCTATGTTTATATTAATATTAATACTTCTTTTAATTTTTTTTCTGTGGTCACTTTTGTCTCTGTCTCAGCAGCTGAGAGTGCGTCCTGTGCTTCCAGGACTAGAGCTGGTCCTCAGCACCTTTGTTGAGTGGTTCACAGTTGCTTGCAGCTCCTTGTCCAAGGGATCAAATGCTGCTACTGGCCTTGGTGGACACTGTTCTCATGTGCACAAACAAGTGTACACATAATTAAGAGTGATAAAGATAAATCTTTTTTTTAAAAAAGAGTAAATGTACTTGTAACACTTTTGCCACAAGAACAGCAGTTCCCTGCCATCCTGTATCTCTTGCTGGGTAGCAAATTACCTCATACTCTGGCTTGAGACACCTGCCATTTTGTGCTGTCTGGTGGTCTTGTAGCCAGGAGTCTGGACGGGGCTCTTGGGACAGTGCTGGTTACTCCTGGGTGTTGATGGAGGCTGTCCATTGTGAAGTTCCCCAGCTTCTCTCTGCTGCTCTAGAGGCCTCTCTGGAAGATGGTGGTCTTCAGACAGCTCAGGACTTAAAGCAAGCCAGGTGGAGGGGCTGTGCAGAGACTTGACCTAGTGCCAGTTCTATCGTGCCTGGTTTGTGGAGCAGTCAGGCCTGGCTGGTTCAAGGGAAAGCTGGCAGGAGTGGGCTGGGTGCCTGTGCCCTGTGCCTTCCAGTCCCACATACCGCTTAATCTTGGTTTAGTTGAGCATTTGCTATTTACTTCTTGATTCTGGCTCTGTACACCCGTGTTGTCTGTGGGCTCTGCTGCCCCGTGTCACCTTTCTCGTCCTCCTGGGGGCTCTGCCTCTTTCCTGTCTCCATCTCCGCCCCCCCCCCCATGGTACCTTCTCGCTTGGGCTGGTCCTGTCTTTGCTGATATAATACTTCCACTTCCCCCACTTCCTTCAGCTGCCATTGTGTCTTGTCCTCTCCATTTCATGGTCAGTGTGAGCATCACTTCCCTGAACCCCTAAATACGTGGCCATGCACATTTATTAATGTTCATTTACAGTGCTTCCTTCTGAGGACTGTGCCCTGAAGGGTGGTCCACGCTGAAGAGTGGTATTGACCGGGCAGGTGTGTCTTCAGGTTCAGCCTAGCCACTCCCTCATGGACTTGGCAGCTGTGGCCTCACGGCATCCAGCTGTGGTGGATTCTGTGTGAGGGCGATTTCTGGCTTTGTGCAGGCGGTCGCCCTGCTCTCCTCTCTTTCCCCCTTGAAACTCTTGTTTCCTTAACTGCATCTCCTCACCTCTGTGAGGCATGTCCACGGCCATGATCTCTGTCACGAATGTTGAGTGGCCCTGCTTTGGTGCCTTGTTCTAGCCTCTCCGTATTTCAGCAGTAGTCCCTACCGGGTGAGAGTATGCTTGGAGCCTGTGTGTTGCTCTCCTATCTGTGGTGAGTCCTATCTCTGTTCCACTGACCCTGGGCTGTGGGGATCCAGGACTGTCTCCTGCAGGTCCGGCCTCCTCAACGCTTCTGTTGCTGGAACTCCCAGAGCTTTCAGTACTGCAGATCTTGGACCTTGTGTAGATTCCGTTGTGTGGTCAGGAAGCGACCGGGCTCCCCTTGGTCGGGTGCTTGCTGCAGGTTCCGTGTCTGCTGGTGCTTCTTCCTGTCACTATCTTCCCTGTCCTTGCTCACCGGGTAGCTTGTGCCTTAGAAAGGGACAGAGACCTTTCTATTGTCTTCAGTCAGGTTCACACCTTCATATATGTTCTCAGTCCTCTACATGACATCTTGTGATGAAGTCTCTGACAAGAAAGTCAAATCTTAGGGGAGGATGTGGCAGCTGGCGTTCAGTGAGTGTCCTCCACAGGGGGGTCCCCGTGCCGTTACCTGTATTAGACCCTGTAGTCACAGGAACTGCTGTGCACCTGCTTTCAGAGTCAGATGAGCACAGAGAGGTTAAGGAACGTGACCTGGAACCTAGTCTGGTAGGTGACCATTTCATTTTGTGGCACAGGAGCTAATCCGTGGTGGGGTGAGTGGGGACAGCTGTCACTTCTGTAGTATCCCAGCTGAACACAGGTACTGTGGGGTACGGGTGGTGCTATGAGCTGGCCACCTGCATCAGAGCCTCTCCCTGGGTCTCTGCCCCAGCCATCTGAAGTACGCTTTCCTGCACTGCAGGGCACAGAGGGCAGGAGAGTGGTCAGGATGGCATGGGCTGTGTGGTTTGGCCCTTAGTCTCCCTCCCTTAAACAGTATCACCCTTTTGCCTGTACTGATGGGCCTCCTGCAGTGTGACATGCGGCGGTGCTTGTGAGGGTCGTCATGGCTTCTGCCAGGTCCAATAGCTTCTCTTCACACAGTAACCTCGCTCACATTTCTGACCTTATTGAGTAATCTTATGTGTAAAAAGATGATTTTTCGCCAGGCATGGTGATGCATGCGTTTAATCCCAGCACTTGGGAGGCAGAGGCAGGTAGATCTTTGTGAGTTTGAGGCCAGCCTGGTCTACATAGTGAGTTCCAGAACAGCTGGGGCTACAGGGAGACATTGTCTCAAAAAGACCAAAAATAAATAAATAAAAATAAAAAAAATAAAATAAATAAAAATATGATTTTTCTTGTGTGTGTGTGTGTGTGTGTGTGTGTGTGTGTGTGTGTGTGTTTCTTGGAGAAGAACATCTGCAAAGTGGAAGTGGAGAAGTCAAAGACCTGGTTTCCATTCAGTGCCCTGCAATGTCTGAGGGGCAGTTCTAGACAGCAGGCAGTCCACACTGGCTCTCCCTTGAAACCTGAGCTCTGCCTTCCTGACATGATTGGAGCTCCTGGGTGCTGGGATGGGGACAACAGTTGCTCCCTCCTGCCTGGTTCTAGACTCCTGGGGGACATGCAGGGCTGTAGGGTTGATGGTGGTCGCACATTCCTCTGTACGTTTAAGAGGAGTAACAGAAGGCCAGGGACCCCACGCCTGGTCCCAGGAGTCTGTCTCTGGCCTCACTGTTCTCTCTCCTGTTGAAAAGGGCATCCCTTAGGGTTTCTCCATTGGAATTCTTTTCAGCTAGAATTTTGTAGTGAGAGACTGCCCAGGGAAGTGAGTCACTTCCCAAGCCCCTCGGAGTCCTGATCCTGGGCTGGCCCTGGGTTGGATGGTCCCTTCCTAGTATCTTGTCACCTCCTTCCCCAGCTCCTTCGAGTCCATCAGTGTGAAGGTGAGTCCTGGCTGGACTGAGGAAAGTTTTGTCCCCAGTGGTCTGGACACTTTCCTAGACTTGTGTTTGGCCCTAGGCACTGCTCTTGTTTCACTCAGAGCCTCCAGCCAGGCCTAGAGCTGTAGCCCAAGGGGCAAGTGCTACTGTTCCATAGACAGCCGTTTGGAGCCTGTGCAGGCCTTGTAGGGCCTGGCCAAGATGGGGATGGGCCACTTCCCTCCCTTCCTGCTCTCATGACCTAGAACCCTCCCTCCCAGGATGGCTGGGTAGCTGTGGGCTATGGCTGCTAGTCATTGACCAATGAGACTTGTGTCCCACCCCACAGCCCTGGGGGTCCTCACGTGTTAATGGAGTCTCAGTGAGGCCTGTCAGTCTCTAGGACTCAGGTGTGTCCAACCTTTTGACATTGGAATAGTGTTCTTGTCTACAGAGTTCGTGCCCTAGAACCTGCAGTTGAGTTATAGGGAAAAAAAAAGCAAAAGCAGAAAAAGTCTCTTAATGTTTGAAGTGAGTTTACAGTTCTGTGCTGCGTTCACTGCTCTCCTGGCTCCGTGCAGCCTGTGGGCTGATGGTGCTTGGCTGCGTGCAGCCTGTGGGCTGATGGTGCTTGCTAAGTGATGTGTTTGGTTTCTCATTTTAAACAGTGCTAAGGGTATCAGTGGACTTCATTCACCATGTCACCAGGTTTAGGGACACAGTTGGACAGTGCCCT